CAGTCTGGGTCCTCATTTTACCCACCTCAGAAGGATGGAAGGCTGAGTCAACCCTGAGCCGGTGTGATTTGAACCGCCGAACTGCAGTTAGCTGAAGTGGCCTGCAGTACTGCACTCTAACCACTGTGCCACCTCGGCTCTGATACACATTGCTGCAAAGGTTTAAATAATGACTTTCTTTTGAACAAACGTAATTTCATATACAATATTAGCTTTATTATGTAAGATGCACTGTTATTGAAGATGCTCAATTGTGCACCAATGTTATATGGCCCCGGTTATGCACAGTATATATGTGACTGTATGAAATGAAAATGAAAATGAAAATAAAACATATTTGAAATGAATTGTGCACCAGAGATTTGGAAACCAGCAGGAAGACAATAAAAATAGCCCATTGCTGGCTTGTATGATCTCACACAGAAACAAAAAAAGTGTTATCTGTTTGTGTTAGTTATGTCATCGGTCAGAAGAGATGATACTTCTTTATTTGGTTCACCGACAAATGCGCGCTCGACAAAAGCGCGGCGACGAAACCGCGGCGAGAAAACCGCGAGGTCGAAATCGCGCAGACGAATGAGCGCAGAAGCGCACCGACAAAATCACGCCTTCAACAAACAACTAATAACAACCTAATAACCCTAAGCCTGAACCTAACCCTTACCTTAACTTAAATCGCGCTTCTGTGGGCGCGTTTATGACGTCGCGGTGTTCTCGCTGCGGTTTTGTCGTGCGCGCATTTGTCGGGTCACGCTTTATTTAAGTAGCCGTTTAACCCAAGAGCCCTATTAGAAAAACTGACGAGAACCATGGACTACATATGTTGGATTATGAACTTAATTTGGCGTTGTTTCCTAGTTGAGTAAACTCAAACATGTTAAATTATACAATATGGTACATCAAAAGCAAAGCATCTGCTCTAGGGGCTATAAAATAAAGAACGTTGCGTGCTATTTGCTTATGTCAGTTTCAACATATTTCATGATAAATTGGGATTCTTTGGGGAAAAGATTCCAGTACCTTCTGGCTATAAGTGATGTCATGTAATGTTTGGGTCTTCAATAGTATCTTTTACTAAAAGGGAATTAATCTAGTATTGTTATTGCATTCAAAAAGATATTTCTCTGTTTTGTCTTTAGTAAGTGTCCTTTTCTTCCTCATTCTAACCCAGATCTTCGTTCCTTTTCCATCTCTACCCCATTTTTGTGGCTCTTAATTTTCTTTCCTCCCATTTCCTTTCAGTGTTTCTTAGCCTTGGCAACTTTAAAATGTATGAGTGTATCAGGGGTGGGTTTCTCGCCCCGTTCCAAGCGGTTCGGTTGGAACGGGGCCGGCGGCGTCCTCGTGNGGCTTTACGGAAGGCCGGGAGAGTAGTAAGGGTCCGGATCTCTGCAGGTAGATCGTTCCACAGGGCCAGCGCAGCAACAGAGAAGTGTATGTGTATCACTCTCATATGGAGGTTCCATTTCAAAGATTGTTTTAATCCCAGGACTGTAATGTATGCAATGACATATTTCTAGCATCTTGAATACGAAAAATCTTCCTGTTAAAAACCCAAGAACATCCCTTTTTAGGCAATGACAATTATTCACATTATATAGGAATATATTAATAAAGAGTTGTAAGCATTAACCCATTATTATAGTATCTCTTGAGCCACGGGGGCGCACTGGTTAGAATTCAGTATTGCAGGCTACTTCTGCTGGCTGCCAGCTGCCTGCAATTTGACAGTTCGAATTTCACCAGGCTCAAGGTTGACTCAGCCTTCCATCCTTCTGAGGTCAGTAAAATGAGGATCCAGGTTGTTGGGGGCAATAGGCTGACTCTGTAAACTCCTTAGAGATGGGTGTAAAGCACTGTAAAGCGGTATATAAGTCTAAGTGCTATTGCTATTACTTAGCAAAGATATTATACTTGCCGAGCTAAAACTATATCACCTTCAGAAGACTCCATACTTGAATTCATTCAAATGCGTAACTATTTGTGAGGATTTCCAGGACATTTCAGTAGGATGGGACCATGTCTTAGGTCCTGATCAGACTGAGTAGAACGATGTCTCAGGCCCTTAGGGCCCAGTGATCACAAAAAGACATTCATATTGTTTCCCGTTTTTATTTTTTCATAAGTCTGATGATGCAAAGTTATGTGCCTTCTGTGTCTAACAATCAGAGGCTGTAAATGAACATTGCTTCTGCAGCTCCAGGATCCAGATTAGAACAAGGCAAGCAATCCCCAAGACAAACATCCATAATGAAACCCAGTAGTATATGGGTATAGAAAACCAGCCTCTGCAAATCTCCAATTTAGATTTTTTGACCCTGCCAAGAATACATTGTAAAACAGTCATTTAGTGCAACTAAATATTAAAGCTGTTATCTTATCTCAGAATGAAAAGTTCAGACCTGTAGCTCAAACTACAAAATATATTCATAGGTGNTCTTCCTCTTCCTCCTCCTCCTCTCCTCCTCCTCCTCTTCTCCTCTTCCTCCTCCCCCTCTTCTCCTCTTCCTCCTCTTCCTCCTCCTCCTCTTCTCCCTCTTCCTCCTCCCCCTCTTCTCCTCCTCCTCTTCTCCTCTTCCTCCTCCTCTTCTCCTCTTCCTCCCCTCCTCCTAGCAAACCCCTCTCCCTTCCAGCACTGACTATATTACCTAGTTTGGTCACGAAACATCTGCAAAGAAACTTTCCAAGCTCAGACAGCACCAAGGATCCCTAAACCTTCTTATTTATTTATTACTTCTAAAGTCACATGTTTGTGCTCTGTTTTCCTGCTTGGGGGGTGGGGTGGGGGTGGGGAGGAGAATCCAACTTTTAAAAGGGGCCCAAGTCACAATTGCGAGGCCTTTGACGTTGTATAAGTCCCAGAATGGTCGGTTTCTGCATCTGATGATTCCCATGCAGGCCCCATCATCCCCCACTTCTGTCCTCCTCTCCCTCCCTCCCCCCTGCCCCCTCCCCAAGTGTCACCGCCGTTGATTAGGTGTGTTAATACGTGTGGAATTCTTGATTTAATCAGGCAGAACTGAGAAAAAGCCAGGATTCCTTATCGCGTCCGAGCTGGAAAGACAAACTTTCGAGAAAGTTTAAGGCTTATTTACGGTTTCACTCTATTCTTTCTCGGGTTTTGATAAGGGGCAGGGTGGGGAGGGGGCTTTAGGGTCGAGGGGTGAGGAGGGGTCAGGATGGATTCATCTCCCAGCAGGTCATCAGCGGAAGGCCACGCAGGTTGAAGGGGCCGGTTGAGAAAGAAGCTTTGCTTTCAGGAGCCAAACGTTAGTCGGCGAGCTCCGGGTTCAAGAGCAGTCTACCCTTGAAAAGTCACGGTGAGGACTGGCGACTTCAGCTTTCGTTTCGGGCGGGTTAGGCACAAGAGTCATTTCCGAAGCCTGCTTTGGTTTTATTCGCGGGGTGAGAGAGGGTTTCAGGGGGGGCTTTTTTTGGGGGGGTTCCTAGGTTGGAGTTCCTTTAGCCTGGGAAAGTAAGAGACACGTTCTGGGCTTCTGGAATTTTCTCTGGGGAGATGAGGCAAACCATCTATTATGCTTCTTCCCGCAGGCAGAAATATGCTTTATTAGGCAGGTTTATTAGGCATTTAGGATGATTTAGCCAGATATTAATGTGGATGCTTTCTTTTCTTTTTCTTGTTCTCTCTCTCTTTCCTTTCATTCTTTCATTTATTTATTCCTTCCTTCCTTTCTTTCTCCCTCTCTCTTTCCTTTTGCCTTTCTTTTTCCTTTCTCATTCTATTTCTTTCTCTCTCTCCTTTCTTTCTTCTCCCTTCCTTTCTCTTTTCCTTTCTCTTTCTCTTTTCTCTTCCTTCCCTTTCTTTCCTTCCTTCACTCTCTCTTCTCCCTTTCTCTTTCTCTTTT